ATGGGAATGAAAGATGTTTCAGTTTGGTGGAATTCCATATCCGGTCTTGCCCGGTGCTAAGCCTCCGTCACCATGGTTTGCAGACCTTCGTTATACCTTCGCCACACCTCTGCCTCACTCCTACCCAAATGTGTATGATGAAGTGATCAAATCCGACAGGTAGATCATTTTCAACCTATTTTGATGGGCACACCTTCCTTCCATAAATGTAAACGTTGCGAAGGCATCATGTATTTTCATAACTAAGGACCTTTAGATGTGATTACGCTAAAGTTCGCTTCACTTGAGTTGTCTCAATGGCATTTTTTCACCTTTTCTGGAATCCGCTATATAGCGAGCTGTTATTTTTGAACTCAGGCTTGTGAAATTTCAATGAGATTAGCTTTTGCTAACAGCAGACGGTGCAACAAGAAACATTGAATATTTTTTGCCACATAAATTGAGATCGCGCCAGAAGAAGTGATTTCCAACTCCTTATAAATACTGAATTAATGTGGTAAATGCGTATGTTATTTCAAATCATGATATTTAGGATTGTCGCTCCTAGCTTAGCCTCTAAAATATATGTTTTGCCTTTCGTTGAAATTTGAGCTTGATATTTGAAAAAAATGTTATGTTGATATCATACACGAATTTTATTCTATTATTAATATTCTAATGGATTCTCTACATACTTATCAGCAGGTTTCTCTTTTGGAGAATATTCTGAGTTTAATTTTCAAAATCACCAAGGTTGCTTCGCAATTCGCTTACAGCAGAGTATCGAGCTCCTCATAACATAGTTTATTTGAATTAATCTTCTCAAGCATAGTTTCTTGGGAGTTAGACAATCGTAATAGAGATCTTACTTGCTGAGATGTATATCAGAAGCCTTTTTGGCAGTCTAATTCGAAGGTTTTTCTTTTTGTTGATATATGTGAAGCGAGCACTAAACTGCTTTGAGCTTTTCTAGAGTGGATTCGGCAATAGAAGTGGAAGAAGTTCGTACTCCAGATGTCTCGGTTTACAAAATAAAAAGGAAAGTGAAGAAGTTCTACTACGAAATTCGAGCTACGTTGTCGCGGTTCATCTGTAAAATATGTGGATATGTGCTTTACAAGGTATAATAGTATCTTTCCTGTTATTTGCACTCAGTTGATTATGCTGACTATCTCAGGTATTCCGCCGCTTGATGACCCGTTTGCTTGTTTGTCCACAGCAGATGGAGCGACTTGTTGAAGCTGAGAAGGTAACCTCGGTGTTCTACGATGGCTTCGATCTCACACATCATTTGCAGACGGGAATACCACTTGTATATCTGCCTCTACATCGTTCTCATCTGGATTATCTGCTTATAACTTGGGCCTCGTGGCATTTTGGCCTTCGTC